AAAATTTCTTCTTTTTTGTGCAGGTTATGTCATTGCGCTTTGCTGTGCCTTCTCCTTATCGAAATATTTTTTTTTTTCTCCTTTCTATTCTTCTAGGGAATATAGGGCTTCCACATATCCTCGCCGATTCTCTCTGTTTTGCGCCATCCTTTTTACTTCGGACCAAGTCTTGCCGCTTCGCTCACATTCTGTCCTAACCGTTCTTCTCCATGTTGTTCTTGGTCTCCCCACACTTCTCCTCCCTTTGGAATTCCATTCTAATGCCTGGCGCGCCAGTGATGTTGTTGGCCGCCTCAGAATGTGGCCTTTTCCATTTCCACTTTTTCTTTCTTATCTATACCCAGGTTGGTTCCTGCTTTGTCAGAATCCACAATTCCTCATTCATTATTCTTCTGGGCCAGAAGATGCAGCATATAATCCTAAGGCACGTGTTTTTCTCATGTTGTCCTTTGAAATCAGCCACGTCTCACTTCCGTAGAGCAACACAGACTTGGCACACGCATCAAATATTCTGATTTTTGTACCCCTTTCTATTTGTGTAGACCTCCACATCGGCCGCAGCCTTCCAAATGCAATTCCGGCCTTTGATATTCTGTGTTCTATGTCTCTACTTGTGCCTCCATCAGTCGCTATCATGCTTTCCAAATACTCAAATTCTGCTACTTTCTCATTTATTTTGTAAGTACATTGGCTTATAGAGTTTATTCTCAAGCATTTGATCTTAGTGGAATTTATGCGTAGACCCAAATCTTCGGCCCTTTCTCTCAGCTCGTTGATAGTTGTTTGCATTTCTTCTGCTGAGTGGTTCAATATGACTATGTCATCTGCATACTCCATACTCTGGAGTTTCGGCGAAAGGTTATCCCCTTTCTACGTGCGGCTACTTCTTTCATCTGGTTTATCGAAATATACCAATCTTAATTTTATTGTTAATTTTAAAGTGATTTTTTTTTGTATAAAATTAAAATGTCTTGAAATTCTAAACGTATTCAGAAATACAAAACGTTCATTCGTGAAAAATAATATCTATATTGTGAAAATTTTATGAAAATACAAGAATAAAAAAAAAAGCAAAAAATTATGCTAAACTTTTAATATATCAGAATTTTTAAATCCTTGCAATAATTTTCAAGGATTTTTAATATTTTTACAGCACCTACTCACTTTTTAATAGACAGATCAGATAATGAAAAAGAAAAATATGGAAAAAATAATTTTTTGTTTGTGGTATTTTGTTAGCTTTAAGTAAATTTCGGTATTTCAAGTATGACATTATCCATGAAATTTTTTTTATTTTATAAAAACTCACACTAGCTATACTACTCGTACTATTTCTTTTAGCTATATATAAAAATTTTCAAAGAAAATTAAAAATATTTTCCATTAATTCTTCAATCAAGTTATGTCTTTTGAATAGGCACTTTTGAAGAGATTTTGCAATATTTTATGCTCATACCATTTAATGCATATAGGCTACTCGGAATTCTTTTCTGTATGCATATAATAAAGAGATTGAAGGCACCAGCTCGTAAATAAGTTGAAATATTCAATAGAAATAAAAATTTAATTTAAGTGCTAAATTTAGTTATGCTTTTAATTTGTATTTTAACTTTTTTATTAGTTACATAGTCCTGTGGTGGCAGCTATGCGTATAAGATATCAATATTTGTTCTCAGAAACAGTTTATTGGAAGTATATCATTCTATATAAGCACTTTTATAATTAAACCACTAGTATAAATTTTACTTAAGATAAACTAAATATTAAATTCACTAAAACGGCGTCATTAATTTATTAGCGACAGCTTAAGTAGTAAATATAGAAGATGTCACTATCGGCTTTCATTACAGCAATTGATACCTAATAAATTTTTTAGATACCTATATCGAAATTTTAAAAAAATTGTTAATATTAATGCCTAAAATTTGAGAAGCTTAAGGTGGTAAATTGTGATTTTCCTACACCAAACCAAAAATTTAAAGTACCATTTTACAATTTTGAATATAAGAAAAACTGGGCGAAGTACTTAATTCTTAAATACAAAAAATGTGGCAATTACAGAAGCGGTCTCATTTTTCACTTAATCATTATACACTTCATTGTTTTTTCTTAGAATTTCTTGCTTTTCTTGTTAACAAAAAGAAAAAATCTAAAATACACACATGTGTTAGAGATAAACTCACATTCTCCATAATATTAACAAACAGTATGTAGAGATCAAGTGTGTATTAATATTAACGAGAAAAAAAATAGAGTTGACCTTGTCAACTCTGTGATACCCGTACGAATTTGTTATCCTATGTGCGAATAACTAATGTGCCATAACTAACTATGGGGCAGACTATGTCTTTAAGTTGCCGTATTAACATATTAATTTATGCAAAATTTCAGTACTATGTGTTATTCAAAATACTGGTTGTGCCAAACTACTATTGATGTTGTATGACAGCTACCAGAACATCGGCCCTACTAATATATTCACTTGTGTGAAATCTCAATATCACAGCTTTTATAGTTTCTGAGATATAGTCAAAAAACTTTTGAAGTTGTATGGCAGGTACTAGAAGGAGCCAAGTAATTTCAACGACTTTTATGTGACACATTGGCCCTACTAATATATTCGTTTGTGTGAAATTTCAATACCATAGCTTTAATAGTTTCTGAAATATAGCCAAATAATTTTTGAAGTTGTATGGCAGGTACCAGAAGTAGCCAAGTAATTTCAACGACTTTTATGTGGCATATTGGCCCTACTAATATATTCGTTTGTGTGAAATTTCAATACCATAACTTTAATAGTTTCTGAAATATAGCCAAATAGTTTTTGAAGTTGTATGGCAGGTACCAGAAGGAGCCAAGTAATTTCAACGACTTTTATGTGGCATATTGGCCCTACTAATATATTCGTTTATGTGAAATTTCAATACTATAACTTTTATAGTTTCTGAGATATAGCCAAATAAATTTTGAAGTTGTATGGCAGCTACCCGAACCGGTACCGCGATCATGTCCAATTTAAATAGGGTTCTGGCACTTACTACAATAAATCATTTGTGAAAATTTGGTGAACTTAGCTCAATTAGTTTTTGAGTTATCGTTCGGACGGACGGACGGACGGACGGACGGACGGACGGACGGACGGACGGACGGACGGACGGACAGACAAAGCTAAATCAACTCAGAATTTGACGCTGATCAAAAACATACACTTGAGTCTATATCTAACACCGTTATTTCTTAGCGTTACAAACGGTAAGGCAAATTTAGTATACCCTTCGAACATACGTTCGTACGGGTATAAAAATAAATACAAAAATCCTTTTAGGATTTTTTTAACATTTTCGACACAATAAAAGTTAAAAATAAGAGAAAAATGAAAAAAAAAAGAAAACATTATAAGTAAACAAAAAAGTGAGCAACTGAAGCGAAAAGTGAACGATTTTTATTTTCCCGAAAAAAAAGGATTTTTCATTTTCTTTTCTTTATTGTTCCTTTTTTCTTCTCACTCGTTTACTTTGTTTCGTATATATGGAAAATTAATTCAATTTCGGTGACTTGTTTCTCATTTTTTTTTTCAATTTTTTTGTGTACTTTTTCTCTTTTTTGCACGTTTTGCTTCCAATTTTTCTCTTAAAAGCAATAAATTCTGTGCTAACAAATAAAACAGTATTGGGAGATAGACGACGGTCATATAAACACCTTTTAAGAAATATTTACTTTTATAACAATCTAGTTAAAGTGGAAAACAAACATAAAAATCAACAAAATCAACAAAAAAAAACAAAAATTATTAAAAAGAGGGAAACCAAGGGGTAAATATTAAGGTAGTTGGAATGTTTTTGACAGTTTAAGCAGATTGTTTTAGAAAAAACTTTTAACTTTAATTGTTATTTATTCTTAATCTTTATTTTGTTCTATTATTTTGTCCAAAGAGAATTTGTAAAAGAATAATAATTGAAGTTTATTATAACCATATAATATGTAAAATTTCTGTACCAGACAGACTGAAATCAGACAGGACAGGTTGTTTGGGTGATTATTTTAAGCTATTTAAGTAATATCAAGTGATAGTTTTATTACAACAACCTAATCACCATGCTGTAACCCAAATCAATGTTCATAACAATTTTTAGATTATCAGTCCCCTTTAAAACCTAATTCATAAAAGCACATTTAATTTTTTCATTATGTTAGGCTAAGAATTTTCAACTATAGGAAAATATTTTTTTCTGAATAATTTTTCACATCGTTAAATTGAAAAAATTGATAATTTAATGGCATGTTATAGAAAACTTAATATAATTAATTTTATAAAAGCTACACCACAATGAAATTTGAATACACAATATATTATAATAATGAGTACACATACATTCGTCATACCCGAATATAATCTAATTTATATAGTGTAATTATGTAAGAGCAAAAAATTTTTTTATATGAATCGCATAATGATATTATGTTGTAATATAAAACCAATTTGTTCTTAAGGGAGCACCATTTTTTAGAATCATAACATGAACTCATATATTTCGTAATATTCATACTATTAGTACTGTTATACACCGCATAAAATGTTCATATGTGCTCTAGTTTGAAAACAGTATGTTTCTATTGTAATAAATAATGTTAACTAGAAAGGATGTCAGGAGAAAGAGTACAAAAATTTTTACTGTAGTGGAAAAAAAAAAGAGAAAATATGGGTCAATGTCATAATTATTATGAAAGAGTAGAAAATCACAAAAGTTGTGTTATAATGCAGAATTTTATATTTTATATTTAGTTAACATTAAAAATGGTATGTTCTTATTTCAAAAATAAATATTGTTTTTTCTTTTAAATATGTAATTATATTTGTATAAATATTGTATGCAGTGTTATAGTTTACATGATATTTAAATAATATTTTTATTGTCCTTTTATATTGAGATTTATTTGATTGTAATTATAGTAATAAAAAAACATTGTACATGTAGTTTTTGTTCTCATGATATTAAAGATTAATGTTTTGTAAAAAAAAGCTGTTTATTTACAGATTCCATATGGGCTTAAAGAAAAAGAGTTTTTAAAAACAGTTTGAATGTCAGTTTTCACATACAATACGAATTTTGCTGTTTCAAGGATAAGTTATTGTAAAAAGCCTTGTTTCTCAACAAGGGCTATCCCCATATAGCGCCATTGTAAATGGGGATACGTTACGTTGTGTTAACACTCACACACGAAACAAAATTATAGCTAGAATGCTAGGCAACAAGATTGCTAACGCTTGCGTTAATTTTCTCGCGTTAGTTGTGCATTAATATTTATTAAAATCGTGTCCGACATTGTTTTTGAACTTGTTTAAAATTGGGAAAATTCCTTCTAAAATTATGGTTTATAACTTTTTACTGAGTAATTTTACAAAAATTTATAATGAGTATGGATAATTTCTCTGTTATGACAATCTTAGATAAATTTATTTAACTATAATATATTAACAATTTTTTTTTTTTTAATTTTGCTAAATAGAAAGTCATTTATTGTATTTATAAAACCAAAAAAAAAAAAATTGTAGGAAAAGCATTCTAAATGTTCTGCTTATGAACGTATGCGTGCTGCGAGGTTTTTTTTTGATTTTAAGCAGGATTGTTATTGAAACAATCTTTGAATCAAATAAGAACGGCAAACTGTTTTATAGTGCAACTTAATCGTTATAATAAAATCATTAAAATTTATCGTATAAATGTTACGGAGAACCAATGAAGTATCGTTCTTCTAATAAAACAACTGCATACTGCTAATTAGTTTGAAATCTTGCAAAAATTTTACCCTACGTCATTTACTGACTTATTCGTATTAGAAATATTTCACTACATAAAATTTCTCAATGAGATTTATAAAAAAATTTTTTCGAAAATGCTGCACTTTTTTTTTTGAAAATTTTCACAGTAATAATATGAAAATTTGAGCTAAAAAAATTTGAGCCACAAGCAAAAAAGCTTGAAAACCACTGATGTAAATAATTTATCGTTTATTTTTAAAAATATTCTTTGTTGTAATTACTATATTAATTATTCTGTTAAATGCTATGTTCTAAGATAGTCCTAAAAATTAACCTTCGTTGTTTCAATCATAATTATGCAGTTTATTTTAAGACTGCAATGCACAGAGCATTATTCAAGAGCCAAAACGGAGGTACACAAAATAAAATCATAATAATTATTAGTTGTTTAGGAAATAAGTACACACATAGTTCCTAAAATAGAATGCAAGAGTAGTATTGACAAAAATTATAATACTTACTAGAAACTTGTTTAAATTTAAAGTTCATTGCTTACTGAATGTTTACATACCTGAAATAGAGAAAAAAGAAAATGTTATTAATAAATTTTCACCTATAAAATTTAGTTTTTTTAAAAAGTATTGACTAAATAAAAATTCAAATATTTCCATTTTAATAATGGGTTTCCGCTCCCGAACTTTTATAAAATAAATTAACTTAAAACGAATTCAACATGCCAATATTTCAAAATTAGATTATAATTGCAGTCCGGAAGGGCTATTAATTTGTAACTTTAAATCTCTGTTACAATTTTTTATTTTATGATTCATACGATACATTGTAATTAATGTGTACATAATATTCATTGTTTAGTCACTTGGATTTTCCCTCTACAATGCAAAATATTTAATTTCTTGTCTGCGGAAATATTCCGTTTTTTTCCTAATTTTCCAAGAACAATATACGATTTGATCAAATATCCTTTTCCGTAATGAAGATATTATAATGTACAGACTTTTATTATAATAATAATAAAAATAAGCTCTTCATTGGAGGTTTTTTATATGGGAAAAAATTCTTATGTATATTTCTGATACTCATAATACCTTATTAATAAGCATTTATACAAAATAGAAACTTGTGCAATTGCAGTAAATATAAATACAGATTACTAAATATGAAAACTTGAACATTTATAACACATAAATAATATATTATTAATCATTTGAGTTGAGTTAACAACAGGAGTGTGTTAAGGAAAATACAAGCCAAATTTGATAGCAAAATGTATAATAAATTTTTAAATAAATAAAATTTTTCATAATATTTAATAGCGGATTTCAATGAATGTTAATTTAAGGCGTTAAGAAAATTTTTCAACAACAATTATTCAGGCTTTATTGTATAAAATTTAAACAATTTTTTGAATAAAAAAAATCGTGCAGGTTTAAGGATATTTTAAAATACACTAATTTTGTGCTCAATATCATCATTCAAAGTTTATGAAATCCCTTAGATACTGAATCCCAACACTGTTAAATTTCACAAAAGCAACAATACAATTTATCCTTTTTTCTATTACAATTTAAATTGCATTGGAGCAAAAAAATAAACAAAAACTTTTATAAAGAGAATTATTAAAGGTATTAAAAATATTTTTATTTATTTATTTTGCAAAAATTGAAGGACCCTTGTATGCACTTGTAACTATGAATATTATTCCACAATATCCGCATTTAACTTCTTAATAAATAAAAATTAAAAGTAAGAGATGAATAAAACGTCAAATAAGGGTTAATATTAAAGATCAGATACAATAAATTTTGATTAAAAAATTTGCAGTTTCAATTTAAATGGAGTAAGCGATTTTATAATATTTAAAATTTTAATTCTGTATTATCCTGAATTTGATTCTTGTACAATTTCTCAATAGTTACTAAATTTTTTTATTATTTTGCATAGCATAAATACATAATAAGTATTTATAAAGAAACTGAGGGCTTGATCTGAATTTCAGACTTTTTTAAGAGCATTATTTCTCGCTATACATTACAAATAAAATGTAATGCCATAATTCCTTAATAGAAATTTCGAATCATCAATTTTATAATTCTTTTCAATTTAGATATAACAATAGTGTTGTTATTGAAGTGCTTATTCCTTTTTTTTGTGGAAAAAGAGTTCATCAGAGCTGTGATTTGCAAAAAAATTTCACTTTACAATCTGATGCTTAAAAATTTGCATTATTCATTAAAACTATTGCAATATAGAAACAGTTCAATAATATTGTTGAAGGATTAATAGTCATAAAATAAAATGAAGTAGAAAATTTTAAGCTGAAATTGCAAAATTTTCTTGATATGAGAGTTATAGGGTTTCTATACAAAATTATAGTTATAAAATTGAAAATTTTTTGAAAGATAAGAAAATATTTTATCTGCCGCATTTTTTTTTTAGCAACAAAACAAAATTTTACTAAAATTGCATACTTCTTGGTGTCGTTAAAATTTTGAAAGTTTGATTTAAATTTTTTGCCGCCATTTTAAATACAAATGAAAATATTTCCTTAAATAAAAATGATTGGAGATAATTTCGTCTCAATTGCTCTAGGTTCTGGATAATAGCAGCGTATTATTTTCAAAATGTGGTAGAAGACAAAACCTTCTAAGTCAGGTAATAATAAGATTGTGTTCTTGAAATTTATGCATTATGTAATTTGAAAGAATGTATAATTTAGATGAATTTGATTTAATTGTGACAAATTTACCTATTCAATTAGAAAAAACCTCGGAGGTTTTAATGGCGCAGATGCATTTTAATGTATAGTGCAGTTTTATTAACACTAAATTAATATGTTTATATAACTTTCATATTTCAAATGGTATTTTCATTTTCAGCTTATTTAATGTTTAATACTGTTATACAAATGTTAAATTAAATTTTTATTAAAAAGTACAAACTAAAAATTTTCGTCCAAATAAATAAATTTTTTTATTTCATTTACGTTAATTTGGAACGTACCGAATTTCGACTTCAATTTGAAGTGAAATCATAAGCCAATTTAATTTTAATTTTCTATATTATAATATAGAATTTTAAATTTACAAACACGTTATTATGCTTCATTTATTTGCTTTTATATTTTTATGAGGTCACTTCACTGCTTTGTTAACGCTCAATTTTATTCAATGGCTAAAAATTCATTATGTATAACTGCATATAATGCGTACACGTGAAAATGAATGCATAATAATTATTTATACTAGATCCTGATTGTATATATATATCATAATATATTATTTTTAAAATAATATTCTTTTGAAAATTATAATTTTATTATATTCATTATTCATAAAAGAATAAAACTAAAAAGATAATTGCAAAATTTGTAGGAAAGATATTAAAAATTTAATAGAATTGTTTTGTTAAAATTTAAACTTATAATTATTACAATACAATGAATTTCACGATCAAATAATTTTAGTACATCCTATTCTATTGTGTACTATTTTAATTCAAATGGTGTGTAAGATAATGGCGTAAAATAATAAAAGAAACTTAATTTTTAACATTATAATAAAATAAATTGAGAGCCGGAACACAATCTATGCTCTATAAATAAATAAAAAAAAACAGAAAGAGCTTCCCATATTTTTTTATGTGAAATGTGAAAGTGTGCGTAATAATAGTTTAGAATATTTTAAATTGACATTAATATTTTTTTTGCTATTCTAATATTACTGGCAAGATAATATTATGAGCTACTCATTTCTCTTTTGAAAGAAAATTATTTTGTCCGGTAGTATCCGTAAAAATCCTGAATATTTTAACTATGAGCTCTTTATATAAAGTATAAATATAAAAAATAATTTTGATATTGTATGAGAATGATGTGCAATTTTTCAAGCACACATACATATTTGAAATTTATATTTGCATTTATATACTGGAACAAATGTATGAATTACAAACGTACAAATGTACATGAAAAGTTTCTGATTTTTTAATTTGTACATTTTGTGTTTTGAAATTTTGTGTTCTTTTACAAAAATCAAAAAATATTTTTAACTAAAAATAGTAATTTATTCACAGTAAAGTATGAATGTCAAATATTGTTATTATTATACCTTAAATTTAACACAAAATAATTTACTATATAGAAAAATTGATGTAAATTTTGCATTTGAAATTGGATACATGTTTGTAGATTAAGTTGGGAATGTTTGACCACAGTGACTATTTTTTGTATTCCTCTTTAAAAGCCTCGCAAGTAATATTTAAATAATTTCCTTTCTGATAAAATGAATGTACATATCAATTATTACTATAGTCGGCATTGTAACAATTTACTGTCGCTTAAAATTTTGGTACATTTGCCAATCAACGACAACCTTTAAGATTAGCTTTACTCAACAAGATTTAGTATTCGATTCTAAATTCAACTACATATGAGATCTTTTCTCTTGTAATTCAAAAACTTACGCAATTATTTACGATAACTTAATTTGATCCGATTATAGTGCGTTCTTTGACCTCAATTCTCTTAATGCAAGAACAAAAAAAAATAAAATAACAAGAATTTTCAAAATTTTCTCTTGGATTATCATGACGTTTTTGATATCTATTCTGTACTCATGCAATTATACATATATTATATACATATATATGAATACACAATATGTACGTTTGTAATTTTAAAAATATTCAATCTAGATATTTATAATTTTTTTCATAATAATAATAATAAAATGCTAAAATGAAAAAAAAAACTAGATTTCCTTAAATTGGAGAATGGAAAATGAAAAAAAAAACAGCCAGATTCAGATTCGATTTACTGAAACTTCAATAAATTTTTTAGGTTCACTTATTTGTACATATCACATATGGGTACCGCAAGAGAAGAATTTTCTTCAATATTTTAATATTTTAGGTTTTGAATTTTTTTTTTTAGAGATTTCCATTTCAAGAACTTTCTGCCTCAAAGAAAACAATGTATGGAGGAGCTTTATATTTTCATATACTATTTTTTTCTATTTTATTTTGCAAGGAAAAAAAAATAATATTTTGAAATTCGAAAGAAGATTGATTGATGTTTTAGACATTTAAATAAAGTGTACCTTACAGATAAAATTTATTTTAATTTTTTTTTTTGTGCGTAAATAATATTAAATAATATATTTGTACATGTATATGTGAATATATGTTTATTTATTTTATATAAAAATTTATAATTCAAATATTATTATAATTATACATATACTATGCGTATGTACATAAGCAATATATTCGTATATACACTATACACGTAAAAATATTTACGATAACCATAAAATAGATTTTTTTTTATGTCAAAAACAAAGATTGATAAAATAATGATAAAAATGTCCAAATTGTTTCACTCGCATAGCCAATTTATATGATTGTTTCCTCAATTTTCTTTTTTCAATTTAATTTTAATAAAATAAGTTATACATAATATTAAATAGTGATATCATTTATAATTTTACTGAATTTTTTGATTTATATTATACATCTGTATAAAAAAGTGTATACAAAAGCTTGTGTATTAAT